CAAATAATGTATGTTATACCAGTTTATAAATTATTACTGAGTGTGTTAATTGTTTCGGTGAAGTCTTGCTGACATTTATGTATTTTAAGAGCGCCATCAGTTTTAATAGAGACAAATAATTTGGTCTGATAATGAAAAAATACTCATTATATTACAAATCAATGTGTGACCCAACTTACATATTAGTAAAACTATTTTAAGAAATCGACAGATTTGCCTTCTGATATAAACTAACGATTGTGTTTATCTTATGACAGACTGGTGATTGTGAATATCCGTATGGGAGAACGTATTCGATTTTCAAAATCAAATTTACATTATGGGTTATTACCGGTCGACTTGTAATCAACTATGAACCCTCCATATATGTTGTATTGATTTTGATAGTGGATAATTACAGAAACATTTTCAGAGGAAATCAAAAGCTATAATATTTTAGCAACAAATTCAGAACTTTATATCATGTACAACCGAGATCTGAAGAATTACCTTAAATGCATTTTTTGTCAAACAGTGCAGTCATACACTTTCGGAAATGTTTATCTATGTAATACAACGAGTAGCACAACGATTTGTCTTCTAAGTGGAACAGAATGTTAAGACCACTGATCATATATTTTACATAATAAATAGTTTGGCATGTGTATACAAATGAGGCTGCTGTTTCCATGAAAACACTGGTCGAATACCAAACACGGCACATTATAAACAATGTAGAACGTTATTATCGGTATTATTCGACTATACGCATTTCATTAAAACTTTATGAATTATTGCGATTTTGCTTATATAATTTGTCAATCTAACAAAATAAAGAAATATATCGTGTTTCTGTTGGTACTGCTTCTTTACATATTAACTCACAAGCATGTCCGATAGCAACATCTGTGGAGGGGTGCATCATTCTATACAGAATACTGGTTTATGCCTTCAATTTTACTCAGTACAATTGTATCGAAGCGCTTTGAGATTTTCGTTTGATCTCAACCTACCTATAGTGATTATACTTAGAAAAGTGGCAACCGTCGTATCATTCCAACAGCACAATGCTATTATATGAACATACTAAGATCAATAGAAGTATAAAGCATGGCCAAACACGCACAGCCTAATGAGGAAGTAGAGACGTGATTAATACACGAACTATTCAAATGAAAATCTGTTTGGAAGTGTGAGACAAATATCAGGTACACAATTCTCTTATGTGAAATGTTAATATAATGATTTTCCCACCCTGCAAAAACCAATTTTCTTTTCACCTGGGCCTGGAATATTTATGATTATATGCTTTTCCCAACAAATCATAGCTCTACGTCATCATTACCGTAGGAATGTATGGTCATGCTTTACATTTAAGTTTAATAAAAAGATATACAGCCAATATATGTCACGTTACAGTTGGCGTTCATATTGATTAATATATATGCCAATTAAAAACAGTTCAGTGTTGTTGTTTTTATACATTTACAATGACAACATCCAAGTTGTAGTCGATATAAATAGGAATAGATGTTCATACAGAACAATGCAGGCGAAAAATGGTACATTGTATGTAGGTAACAAACAGTCAAAACCACAGGTACATAACAAGTCTTCCTCGTGATAGACACAGAGAATCCTTTCGTAGACCGAAATCAGATGATGATGATGATGATGATGATGATAACGACTACCACATTTTTATCAGCGTAGTTTGAAACCTAACTTATTGAATCTCAAATTAATTATTAGTTATAATATCGGCCTAACCAAATATGCAAAATGTCATGGTCTCAAATAAATTCTGTTATTGAAGTGCATTTGAAAAAAAAACACAGTTTACACAACAGTTGAGACGTTGGAGCTGACTGCCTTGGTTTGATATTACAAAACTTATGTTGGACTTTTCCGACTGAAGACATACAAAATAGTATGCATGGATCAGCATAGAATTATCGATGTTTGATAGATATATTATATTTGAAAATAATACATTAAAGACTATTTTACGCATCAAAATTTGTTGTTCCTCAGTGTGTCAGTACTTACGTATCTTGTAATTACTTTAAAATTGCCTTTATCTAAATATGAAAAAAAATGTGTCTGTAATAAAAATATATTTGTAAAAATATGAACAATCATTCCCATATTTACAAGACCACTAAGATATACTGAGCTTCACTTATAATCAGTGACATTTTTCAAGACATTTATCGAAAACAAAGTAAACATGTCCGCGTTTCTCGGATGTTCCTTGAAAGGCGTTGCTGAAGTGAAGGAGCATGTTCGTGAAACTAGGCCTGGAATGGAAAAGTATCATCCTCATATAATATATACAAACATTCTCGCATATCTCTACATATATTACCAAATTTCGAATGTGTGAGTAGTGGCACAGTTCATAGTATACACACTTTAATATTCGATTGATTTGAGATCAACTAGTACTCCGCTAAATTTTGAAATTCCTAAGTTCAGGGGGTTTTACGCATCGCCCCTTCTGTTTCAACAGTAAAGTATTATTACAGCGGTGTGATGCAGTGCATTTTATTTAAGAAAAACTGTATTCATTTCTAAATATTTTGAAAGTGCAATCACACGTGTGTGTTACGTACATCTCTCTTAGAACATTGACAAAGCCTATCTTTAAAGCTAATTAATCTCCATATTTGGTTTAAACAAATTTTATTGTGTTAACAAAAGGGTTAGACAACAGGCAGTGCCTATATAAGTCTTCTCCATATCACTGATTCATGGGAACATTCTTAAATCAAACTGTTCGACTCAATAGCAACTAAATTGTATTACTCTTTGTCTAATAATGCACTTTCATATTACAGGACAAAAATGTGTTGCGGTTAGTTTTAAGAATTATATGTGGTCCAATAATTACCTGTAGGAAAAACGTTATTGTTCAAATGGAGTTTCATGCAAGTGGTTGCGTTAGATAGAACAATGTTAAAACGTACCATAAATATTAATCTTGTTGAACTATTGAAACTCTATCATAGTGTTACAAAGTAACCAATACAACACAACAGTCACTAAACTCTATCATAGTGTTACAAAGTAACCAATACAACACAACAGTCACTAAACTCTATCATAGTGTTACAAAGTAACCAATACAACACAACAGTCACTAAACTCTATCATAGTGTTACAAAGTAACCAATACAACACAACAGTCACTAAACTCTATCATAGTGTTACAAAGTAACCAATACAACACAACAGTCACTAAACTCTATCATAGTGTTACAAAGTAACCAATACAACACAACAGTCACTAAACTCTATCATAGTGTTACAAAGTAACCAATACAACACAACAGTCACTAAACTCTATCATAGTGTTACAAAGTAACCAATACAACACAACAGTCACTAAACTCTATCATAGTGTTACAAAGTAACCAATACAACACAACAGTCACTAAACTCTATCATAGTGTTACAAAGTAACCAATACAACACAACAGTCACTAAACTCTATCATAGTGTTACAAAGTAACCAATACAACACAACAGTCACTAAACTCTATCATAGTGTTACAAAGTAACCAATACAACACAACAGTCACTAAACTCTATCATAGTGTTACAAAGTAACCAATACAACACAACAGTCACTAAACTCTATCATAGTGTTACAAAGTAACCAATACAACACAACAGTCACTAAACTCTATCATAGTGTTACAAAGTAACCAATACAACACAACAGTCACTAAACTCTATCATAGTGTTACAAAGTAACCAATACAACACAACAGTCACTAAACTCTATCATAGTGTTACAAAGTAACCAATACAACACAACAGTCACTAAACTCTATCATAGTGTTACAAAGTAACCAATACAACACAACAGTCACTAAACTCTATCATAGTGTTACAAAGTAACCAATACAACACAACAGTCACTAAACTCTATCATAGTGTTACAAAGTAACCAATACAACACAACAGTCACTAAACTCTATCATAGTGTTACAAAGTAACCAATACAACACAACAGTCACTAAACTCTATCATAGTGTTACAAAGTAACCAATACAACACAACAGTCACTAAACTCTATCATAGTGTTACAAAGTAACCAATACAACACAACAGTCACTAAACTCTATCATAGTGTTACAAAGTAACCAATACAACACAACAGTCACTAAACTCTATCATAGTGTTACAAAGTAACCAATATAACACAACAGTCACTAAAGGTTATAACAATTGAACAAGTCCTAATCTTTTATCTTCAGAACAGAACATCATGGTACATGAAATTATCGAAGAGTTACACGTTAACAAGTTTAAACCTTATTTTGTTCTCAATATTTTGCAGTAATGCAAATAATAAGCATAATGCAAGGATTCGAAAACACGTACATGGTACTTCTATAAATCCGTCTCCTTACATTCATTAAGCGAAGATAGGACGGCATTGATTTTTGATGCATTAATACCCAAAGGAAATAAAGGGAAGGGGTGCAAGAGGGTTAGCATAAAGCAAAAAGTTCCTGTGTGAAGGGAAGACTTATTGGAATATTATAGGGTCTCACTTGAATTAGCGAGAAAATACAAGTGTAAAATAAGAGAAAACAGAAAATATGTATTTAAGTTTATATGATTCTCAATTAATTCGATAAGATGATAACAGGTAATGTGTCAATAGACTTATTAGACTTGGAACAGCCGGGTCCTGATTGTACGTGTACAACTGCCTGTGGACCTTTTACCGGTCATTATGACACCTGCAAAATGTAAACAAACAAATCTGCAGGTACATTAATTAACAATAAGTGTTGGTGTCACTTGCAGTGGGGTCATAAAGCCTTCCTCGACACGCGAGTCGTTAGACGCTTCACTTCCCACTCGTAAGCGAATCATCTATCATAACACGCCTCGTTGATTTTGGTCGACTGGTTCCGCCTGAAGGATTTGTCACCGGCTCGTGACCAATAGCTACTTCCTGTGGCTAGGCCTTGATAAGTTCGACACCAAACCCTGTTCGTCCACATTGAACTTTATCCACCCAAGAAGTAACATCAAATATTTCGACAAGAACTGCGCACACCAAAAAGGACTTAAGAACAAGGAACCGTTACCAAAATGTGGACCATTATATTCATTATTGGTGAGAACATGACTTTATTAATACGCTTTATACATTGGTAGCACATGATCTTGTTCAGCCTCACATAATGCATCAAATGTTTAAGATTTCTTTGAAATAATTTTTATTAATGGATGATGGTATGTACAAAAATGTTTTTATTACTGATTTTTCGTTTATTATAAAAAAAGGAAATATAAACTTTCATAAGATATTTCGGTTTCTTTAAAGATAAAATGAAATGTTTGGTAAATTGATTCAAGAAATGAACAATGATGATATGTGTCACAATAAAAATCTCACGAAACTTAAGTAAGATGCAATATATATTTAGGTTCGTGTTTGATATTTGCAGTAGATGATTGTGCTTTTTAGTTAAAATGTAGCACTGCACCCAGTGCAGGCGTTTGAAAATCTGCACAAACAATGTTTTGCATACATTATAAATTATATATTGTATATATCTGATATACTGTGAAACTTTAATATATTGCCTTTCTACTGATTTACAACCTCGCTTCCTTCAAATTCCTTTTTAAAAGAAGTCCTTCATATGTTTCCCTCTGTAATGTATACATAGTTTAATCAAAACATATTTTATTTCTTCGCTTTTCAAGCAGAGGTATTGGACATAAGTTATGATGATTTATAAAAACCTTCTCCTCAAGAATTTGTAGACATTTTTGTAATTAGGAGTACACAGCGTTCTAAAGGAGACACTATTTGAGTGTTTTCGCCAGGTTGACCAATAACATAAGCATTATCGTGTCCATATATCTATCAAAAGTCTATTATCTATTATCCCCACATCTGAACATATATGTATCATTAGTGCTGTACTTATATATATATACACAGGTAAAAGACAGATTCCTATGTTTGCGCCTGCGCAGGAACCTATGGGAATAATATACAGCATTTCGAACATGCATCAATTCTACGACGATTGTCTTATTTATTTATTTATTTGTTGGGGGGGGGGGGGGATTATCAGATTATCTCAGAGCAGGTAAAAACCTTGATGAGTGCTATAATCGTTTCTGAACAAGCTGGAAACAACTAAGACACTGTTATTTGAGAAAAAAGATAAACAAAGAGAGCTGGACACAAAAAAATACTGTGAAAACCTCATTTGGGCTTTTAAATGTTGTGTCCATGAGATGCAACTGGTCCTTTGACAAGTGAGTTTTCGAAGTACTGTCAGCTTAACAAGTCAAAACATAAGTGACTGTTCAAGTACTGTCAGATTTACATAAACGTTAAGACATTTTTTCACATTTAGTTTAAACATATTTTTTTGTTTCATTATTTTGGAAAATGCGCTATATACAAATTTATATCTATTTGATATTTACTCCGGAAAAAAAAGTATTTTCTTTCTAATTTGCAAAAATTTCCAAGGTAACCACAATGTAAAAAGTTGATCGGAGAAAATAATGTTATTTTTAAATGTCTGCGATGTTGCCAGTTTGTGTACCTTGTGACAGCAGCATGCTTATCAACTTATATAATATACTGTAATCACTAGAAAATTTGTAGCTTCACAGACGTAACAAGATTTATAGCTGAAACAAGATTACATTCCCTTAAATATAATTGATGTTTCCCACAATACACTTGCCTAATAGCGTAAACCGGCTTGTAGAATTATAAAACTTAGGTTGTTTAAGACTTGGTTATGTGGCATATCTCCAGACGCCGGCGTCCGAAACTGATAGATGACCATGACGTAATACTGGTCTGTCCTTCCTCAATATTAAATACGGAAGTGTCGGGTTAGTGTAGCCGCCAGCCAATCATGTCCTTTCGTCGCTTAGACGTTAATATGCTAGACAAACTTATATCTACTATTGAATACATGTATTGAAAATTCCCAAACGTTATTTTAACTGAATTTTTTAATAATCAGCACCATTACCCAAAGTACATCACAGAATATAACGCGGTTAATGTGGTGAAGATTTACACTAACTGTTCGAGGTATATCACATTATTTCAAATTTCTGTTACAAAGTTTTCGATTTTTTTCCATTGCATACAATTTAACAACAAGATTAATACCAATTTATGTTCAACCGTTTGGCACCGAGGACGAAGCGGTGCTGTCTGATTTTATGCTTTATTCAAATATGGATACACTTAAATTCAATACCTGTATTTGGATGCTTAATTTTAATTTTTTATTTTCATACGGTATGAGGCAATGGATGTAGATTCATGGGATGTCTATCATTCATATTTGATTGGTTTTTTTTTCAAACCAAGCTTTTATTGTTGGAGTCAAATCAAAGTTCGTGACGTTTAACACATTGGGTGGCCATTTTCGTTCACTTTTTAATTAAAAAATATCTCGTATTTTTTAATGATCAATTAATTTTACAAGATGTATTAGCTATCAAGCACTTTACTGTCGTGAAATGTCTTATTTACAAGTTAATTATAGTGGAGAAGCTAATTTGAAACAAAGTTTTATCAAAGTAGTGTTTAAATCTGTTCTATCTTGTCCATTGACGTTTAGGTCTGATAAGCCCCGATTAGATCGATGATCGATTACCACTGATAGAATCAATCAGTTACCTGTCACTGTCTATATCCCGCACCTTAGATTCCGAGACGAACCAGGTAAATGTCCTACCTGTATAACGGAAACACGTCACATGAGATTTTTCCCACAGATTAATTCCAATAGCAAATGTATATGTATAGACATTTACGTTGATTGGGATATGAACACTTATAGCTGATTTTTTTACTAGACTATGTATGTGTGTATAGGGAGCACGTCATATGGGTTTAGCTCTTAGACGATACAAGATGCAACATTAATGTGTGAATTCTTACGCTTAAGGAGGATAGGGTGACATCTTTCTACATTTAGTGACGTCAACGTTAGACTTGATAGGACATTTAGAGCGTGGGCATCACGTGTAAAGAATGATAGAAGAATATAGCATGAACACATGGACTGGACACAATTAGCACGAACACTAAACGTTTGCTATTGTAGTAAATGGTTGTGTTTATAATGTATGAGATCGGTAATGTCTATGTCTCGGATATGTGTGGTAACAATAAAAAATCGACACGAGAGTCCATTAACTATTCCATCCATCATATCAAGGAAAAGATTGTATATGACATGCACCGACTATATATAAAAACTATATAGTATTTTTTTCTGCGATAAATTGCCTGAAACATTTTATTGTATTACAAATAATAGCAATTACGTTCAGTCGAAAACAATTACTTGTACACTAAATGACAGGTAATAACACAATAAGGTAATAAAACACTCACGGTGACTCTTCATGTATCCATGTGTCAATAAAAATACACAAGGCAAACTTAACATTCTGTCGCATGAAAATGACGTCATCGCATTAATCCTTTATGACGTCAGAAATGCTTAGTGTATTGCGTCAGTAACAAGTGTAAATATGTAACACTTATTTTCATTCTGTTGTAGGCCTGACATCTGTCAGTGCGCAGCAACCCAGGCCAGGGCCGGGTCAAGGTCAACAGGGCCAACAGGGACAAGGCCAACAACAACAACAATTCAACTCTCCTTGCCTGGCCTCTTTCGACCAAGTTTTCCGGAAATGTTTTATTGACAGCGGAAACTTTCAGCTGGACATCATTTTCTCCCTCATTACCAACGGAACTAGTGGACCACTCCCACAGGGCACAACTAGAGCCTCCTTGCTCCCGAGACTGTGCTCGTAAGTCCTCAACACATACCGATTAAGAACGAAAATCAATCAATATACATGTTATCTTAAGTGAATAGTTATAGGTAAAGACAAATTTGAAAACATCAAAGCATCGTAAGGTTTTGTCTTCCAAAATGAAAACAAAAATGGTGATCTTGCTGGTTTATCGAATGACATTACTAGCACATCGTGGTGACCTTCACAAAACGTTTACCCAAAGGCTGAACTGGACGTTCGAATAATTAAACGTCGACACAAGAGAACCTAAAAATCATTATAACCGAACTTACGTTGTGCTCTTGTATAGAACGTTAATCTATGAAGTTACAAGAAATAACGTCAGTTTCGAAATTCTCCAACGATAAGTAAAAAGAACCTTATTAAGGAAGATTTAAGAGAGTACTTTTTACAGTTTAAATATTTTGTTTTCTTTTAGGATTAGAACAAATGTGGAGACTTGTGTAAATCCACTTCCAGCAGGAATTGCTCAACGACAGCAATGTACGGACAGAGAACAGCTTATGATGAATTCAACAATTCAGTCAACATCACGTGCTGTTGCCTCTCTTTGCGGAGTGGAACGTGAGTTCGAAGCTATCAGATTAATAGGAAAATCGTGTATTAAGTTCATAGCGTTATCTTACAAAATGGAAATCAGTTGTTTATGTATATATAGATGTATATAACCACTGAAAGCGTATCCTATGCAACAATTTATAAACAATTAACATATACAAATGTATATGTCACAAGATTCATAAACTCAAGTGGCAAAATCTATTCTCAAAATTAAAGCCGACAAAGGAGTTCAATGCCAACTAATTGCCGTTCTTTATTAAGCGATCCTTTAGCTGAGATCATATTTAAATTATTTTATGAGGAATTATTTTCTTTCTGTTTAAGTCATCAGTTAGACACCTAAACAACACTAAACCAAACCAAACCAAACCTAATCATAACGTGTATTAAATCATTATTTTTTATTCATGGATAATGTCGAATTTTAAACGTGTAAAATCAGAGAGATATTGTAACTACCGACAATCACCTGACGTCATTCCTTTGTTTTCTAACAGCTGAGATGCCGGCCTGTCTTGGTAAATTTGACGCCCGATTTAAGGCGTGCATGGGTCAAAACCAGGTCAACGACGACTATTTCTTCAAGTTACTGGGCAATACTACCGAGGGATTACAAATGACATACGACCAGCTAAAAAACATGACTTGCGTGTAAGTATAGGTGAAGTGTTTGTATTCAAACGCACTGTAGGTTTAATGGTTAAGCATGAGTCACAACTTTGACCCAATACACATGGTTCATATTCATCAAAATTATCATGCGTGGACGTGTAACATTAAGCAAATGATTTCTAGCCCTTAACATTAAATTGAAGCAGAAAAAAAACGTTTTTTAAGCTTGGATATTTCGCATTGGCAGATAAAATACATCCCTTGTGTATGTTATTATGTAAAAAAAAAAATCAAATTCGGGACCAGACATCCTTTGAATACAACACGAAATTATACATCTAACTAAATATAAATGTTTTCTATAACAACTTGGTTTTTGTATGGCATATATCTACATCCTTATGCGTATCATACACGTCTAAAATGTAGTTAAATCAAGACCATGTGCTTTTGTTTTAGGGACTCAAAATAACCTTGTTGGTTGCTTTTATGCTCTTCATGGATTGTGTACTCAATACATCGTGGAATATTAAAGGAATTGTTATTCTCGTGTTGATAGTGTGTTTGTCCATTTCCAGTCTCCAGACCCAGAAAACCATTGTCAACTGTGCGTCAACTTCACTGCAGCAACTGAATGGAGAATGCACCCAGCAGGAACAATACATGGTGGGACAGACCCTACAGAATATGATGGCTTCCTACCAGGGCGTTTGTACGTATAGCAACACAACACACTGTCTTTATGTAGATAGTCTCCTTAATCTGACAACACAACGTTTAACCTCGCTTACCTGATCACACGACCTTTAACCTCACTTACCTGGTCATACGACGTTGAACCTCGCTTACCTGGTCACACGACCTTTAACCTCACTTACTTTGTCACTCGACCTTTAACCTCGATAACCTTGGATCAATGTGCCTAACCTCGCTTACTTGTTCACACAACGTCTAACTTTGTTTACTTGGTAACACGACCTTTAACCTTACTTACTTGGTCACACGACCTTTAACCTCACTTACTTGGTCACACGAGCTTTAACCACACTTACTTGGTCACACGACCTTTAACCTCAGTAACCTGGGATCACCACGTCTAACTTCGTTGACTTAGCAATATGACGTCTTATCGTGTAACATGACGACCTCTTTAACTAATGTTACGGTATGAATCTGACAACATCTAACCTAAGCTAGCAAGACGGCATATTGACCTTTCGACTTACCTCGTTTATTTGAATGTACGATGATGGCTAGCCTCATTAATCTCACAAATGAGCGACGTCTTTCAACTTTATTAATCTGAGAAAATGACAACGACTCATCTGGTTAATCTGACTACACGATTATTTTCTTACCTCATAAACGTCTAAACAAAACAATTAACCTCGTAAATCTCACAGCAAGAAGATATCTGACTTGATAAATGTTTCAATACAACGACTTATCTTGTTTATCTAACTCCATGAGGATATCTGAGCTCATAATTGTTTCAAGAAAATGACGTTTTCTTTAGCTCCATTTTGTTATTCAGCCGACAGAACAATGACAACTTACCTTGTTAATATACAAAATCGTGTTAGACACAGGATATATTCCGGAACATTCTGAAACAATGTTTCGCATTTACACAGGTTCCGGCCGACCTCTCATGCCAAGACCTCCTCCTCCCCCAGAGTGTCTCATGAAGTTTGAAAATGACCTAGATAAGTGTTCAAGGGACAGCACTACCCTCGGTATGGGCGATATGATGATGCTCCTCACCCAGGGGACGGTACCAGCAGGCAAAGACCCTAACCAAATGAACGGAACCATTTGCAAGTAAGAACAATTTCTACATTTCAGATTCTGTAGGCGAAATAATTATGAAAGTAAAACATAAGAAGGTTTAAACCAATTCCCACATAGCTTTCGGAACGCGAAAAATAGCGCTGCTTGCAATATTCGACTATTTTGCTGTCTTACCATATTTTCACGTACATTTTGTATGTTTCGAAATACATATTTTTATCATTAAACGTTGTGTATAATACAGTTCGCTGAAATGTGTGGCTTCTTTTAGTTTATGCTTTATGAAATGGAACAACAGACATTATTTTCGATAACATGGTTCTATATTTTCTATGGATACCGTTTCCTCTAATGGTCAAGCGACAAAAGTAAATCTAAAACCAAGAAATGATCGGCCCACGAAGTCACTATGACGGAAATACCTGAATTTTTTCCGTTTGGAAACCATTCAATGTGTTATTTCGTTGTAATATATTATATACTAAAACCTAAGCTTGTAGATTTAATACCACTATGTGAGTCTGTGCAACGGACAAAAGTTAAAAAAAGGTTAATATACACAAAAAACGGACACTGAATACATACAATGTATATATGTCTTGCATTGTTTACAGAAACCATAAAGATTTCGAGGTATGTGGTAAAAACGCTATAAAGGCCACGACTTGTAAAGGGAGAAATCTTCTCATCGCCGAGGGCACATTCGCCAATATCTTCATCACTATTGGAGCCTACTGTCACGACACTTCAAGTAAGTATCTCTTCTCCATCCCAAAATCAACATCAACAAATATCCATATGTGCGCTCTCAATCTTCCTACCTCGACACATAGAATGAATATTTTTTTATACAGGTCCATATTGCATAAAAAGTTAACTGGTTGTGTTATATGAACCTCTATACATTCTGTTCTTACCACCCCGAAGGAAACGTTTAGAAAAAAAGAAGTGTTTATGTTTAGTTGACCAATATATATTTGTGTCTTGTCCCTTTAATCAGAAAAATATAACTTCTTGACAAACAAGGCTATATGCTCAAAATTACCAAAAGTTACAAATACATTTCTTCTGTATGTATTGTATCCAAAAGGCAAGCATTTACGCTAAAAGAAAAATGTATTTAATTTATCATTTGTTATGTTTCAGTGCCTGGAGCATGTATGCTGACTCTCCAGTCTCAATTCGCAAAATGTTTCGGTGAGGTTGGTCTGGATGAAGCTAGCTATGTTGGAAATGTAACTGCCCACAAGGGGGCGCTTCTAGGTTCCACTAAACAAGCCGCTCAGACATATTGTGGGTAAGTTCAATCAGTGAGCCAACATCATGTCCTCCTAAGATCTCATTTTGATATCGCAGATATATTATGAGTCATCATGAGAGGAAATGACCATATCGTACAGTAACTTTGTTTACTATGTTTGGCTCTCTGCATTGGCAAACTGATATTTAAACAGATTCATCCTCCTTAAAAAAATGTTCTTTTTCCATCACAATAGTCCCCGAGGTTGGCAGTAACGTTGTAGCTGGACTAAATGTACCGTCCCCGAGGTTGGCTGTAACCTTGTAGCTTCTGTTGGACTATACGTCCGCAAAGTCGGCCGTGTATTATTGCTGGTTGACTATAAGTCCGCGAGGTCGACGTAACTTTGTAGCTAGAATGTAGTCTTTTAAACAATTGGTGTGTCCGTGCAGAGTCTAAAACAAAATAAGCAATGTTTGCTCCATCATATGGCAATACCGTTTATAAAAGACTTATCATAAGTACTTAAATTTAAACCGTGTTGATGTGGGTTTTTTTTGTTTTTTTTTTATTAATTGAAAGTTTTTATTATACAGCGGGTTGTTCTTTAACAATATCTCATATCCTTAAAATAACACAAATTGCCAACAAAACAGATACAGACTGTTTCCGAAAGATCATTGTTCTTTCTTTTGGCATCTGGATGAAAACATTTGATGATGAACAAAACGAGAGGTTATTTAAAACACGAATATGTTTACATTCGCGAAATAACGTATCTGACTTTTTGCATGTCTCATTTAACAAGACAAAATATAAGCAATTTATCTATTTGTCTATATTGTTTCCATGATCTATTACAGCAAGCGAAAAGAACTGTACGTCTGTATGAAGAAAGTGATGCACCGTTGTCCAGGAGCCGAGCAGACCATGGCACTGACCGGGTTTGACCTTGCTTCTATGGAGAGAGCCGTGAATGTGTTGTGTTCTGATATCGATGGTGAGTGTGTTAAATATGACCATGTGGTGAAAACTTCAGCAATACATCTGCGAGATTTTGAAAATACGGTTTAACCTAAATTATGAACAGTGCTCTCGCTTTCATTGTTTACTCGCTTAAAACCAACGTCATTTCAAGACATTTTTTTATAATTCTATCACTTGTGTACATGATAACATCTTTAAATGGTCGAGGCCCGAAATTACTTTTGATATGAAATAGTATTTCTATCAACCAATGCATGCATTATACTCCTTTTCTTGTTTTACAGAGTATCTTATCGGTCTGAAGTGCTTCGCTAAACCAACACCTAAATCGGTCGAGTGTATGACAGATATGGGAGATTCAATCACATCCCTCTCTCAAAGAGAAATGGCACGTGGCCTTTCTCTTAACAACTTCTTCAACACATTTTGCGAGTAAGTCTTTTTATCGAATTATTTGTTTTCCACAAGAAATCTTATATTGCTTTACACTTGTATCTTTCTATTGCCGTGTATCGCGTTTTCGTTACATTTACTCCTTAACAAATGCTGCTACAAAAGTATTAGCATTAATTACACTTTCGAATGGCATTTTAAATTGAAATAGCTTTCATTAGGTGGTACAAATCGACATAGGTTAACATCAATCGCAACTGATACAACGGACTTAGATATAATTCTTATTATATGACAGATATTTTAGCATATTATTTATGCTTGCATACACTGCGAAAGGGTCACATCCCAGTTCAGGACGCTGGTACATGTTAAAAGGCATTGCGTGATAAAATGCGACTGTTACTATGGAAACTTAATCCTCTTTCCAGCATCCGTGTTAAACACGTGGAGTGTGATACCAGTGCTTGGACATCGTGTGACCCCAAGGCTGTCGACTTGAAGAGGAAGTTCGAATGCCACCTCATCCCAACCAAGTGTCATCAGCTTAACGCAAAGGATGTGGATAAAATCTGCCCAGTGGCCTGTAAGTTTTTAAACAAGATTGACATAAGATGAACCGAACCAAATATGCATATATGTATTTTGTTATTTCAAACCTGACGCGCACCAAATGAACCGAACCTAAAAGGAAAATTAAAAGCATATTAAGTGAAACATGTAACAGATATATTCAAAAACGTAGTTAAATGTCATCATTAGTCTAAAACTATTCCTACTGTTTCGAAAGATGTTATCGTCACGTTTCAAAATAACTTCATATTTCTTTGTTTACAGCCCAAGTGAAACCTCACCTCTGCGTTGATGATATGAAAGAAGGTATCAAGAATTGTATCGCTAAATATAATATTGACCCGGAAGTATTTCTGGTGAACGTGACCCACGACAGGAGTAAAATGATCGGTGATCCTTCGAACGCCAGGAAATTATGTCGGTAAGTTCACATTCAGAAATGATGAAAAACATCAAACGAATGCATCCTGATAAGTGAAATCACACAGCTAATCCTTAATTAAAAACAGAATTAAGGCATGCATTTCAAAAAATGCAAAGACACATACAGATGATTTTGGGTACAATCAAAGTAGAAAGTTCGCGATTTTAAACCTGCAGCGATACATTTATAAATATTTTCGCACTAATTTATTTCATGCCGAATTGTTGACACTTATTTTTTTTCAATAACTTATGACCCTTTTTAGCGATTTTAAATTGTTTTCCTCTTTCTTATTAAATGACTGGAAGACAAGATTTCGTTGTCCACAAAGACTTTTTTTTAATGTTTTCTAAGCGGAATATCTCAATAACCAACTTCTTGACGGCTTTGGCATTACGTATCTTTATTATTTTTCTTTTTCTTAGGGATAAGGCTGAGGTATACAGATGCATGCACCAAACTCTGGATAAATGCGCAGGCGCAGTTGAGCTTCTGGAACATTGGGGTCACCAACAGGACAAAGTACAGAATGGCATCGATCTACTGTGTGATAACTTCGACAGTAAGTATTCGGGAAAACGTCGGTCTATCGAGTAGCATAAATGCCGATAGTTTCATTTTGAAGTAACGATCTGGGCTAAATTACAAACACTTAATGGAGCTCGTTTGGAACCTTGAACACGGTGGAACGTCCATAACTAAAGCGATGCCGAATCATTTTGCCATGATAGTTGCATATATTTAAAAAAAAAAATATTGAGCGTGTTTAAATATGCTATGTTAAGGTAAGTTATAAACTGCAAATCGTATTGAATAAGATATCCGAGATTTAGAATTAACAATTAACAAATACTAGCGAAACATTCATTTGCGAAATATTGCAATATACGAAAAAGATCGATTCGCGAAATATTACAACTTGTCAATTATCTCGTGTCGCGAAACACTGTTCCTTGTGTACGTACTATTTGATACGATTGAATATGTGTCCTTATATAGGTTTGTGTTTATACTGTTGTTTCTGGTTTTAGGCTACGTCGCTGGTTTTGAATGTTCGTCACAATCCGGACCGTCTGTCAGGTCTTGTATCAGCAAATCGGAAAATAGCATGACACAGCTTGTGTCAAAACACGGAGGAATGGAAACATCAAAAGATGCTGGATACTTCAAACAATTCTGCGCGTAAGTTATACATTTTGAATTATTGTTTCTTACCAAGTTACGGTGTCAGTCTTAACATTTTCAAGTTCATATGGAACAGTTTATGTCAGTTTTTTACAATGACATGTTATTTAGCTTAGAAATCTTTACTATTGACAAAATCCATTTGATAAAATGTGTTACACCTGTCTGTATTTTGCTCAATTACATGTAAAACATTTTTAGTTTTGATAAACAATAAATATTGCTTTAGTTACATTAAAAACTTCGATCTCAATTAATGACAAATATTTAATCGGATATAATTTAACGCAATATTGTAAAAATATCATAAAATTATTTTGTTTAAAGCAATATTACGTTGTAAGGGAGGACGTTTTCATTCTAACATATAACCAACTCGCTGTAAGGATCAGAAAGAAAAACCCAACTATTGCGCAATAATGCTGATAATACTTCAAATAACACGAATCGGGTAATTTTCTAACAATACACTCCAATTGTGTTTTGCAGAATCAAGATGGAACATCTTCAATGTGACCTGAGCGCAATGAAGTCGAAATGCTCTGAGGGTATAATGGGTCTGAAGACAGAATTTGAGTGCACTCTTATTCAGGATCGATGTATTGGAGCAGAGAGGAACAGTGTTGCTTCTGTCTGTAACGAAAACAATTACGCCAGGGCCGCCCGGAAGACGGTAAAACCCGGAATCACAGGCAACTCCAAAGATCCAAATGGTGCCAGCGCCATGTCCTCAGTTTCGTACTTTACTGCTGTTATTGTTGCTTTTGGAAGCGTGGTGTTGTCTGTGTTGTGAAGGACTAATATGGTAACGATATAAATATGAAACTGGCTAAATTCAAGGACATGCAAGTGCGCATAAGCCTTGTCTTGCATTTGTTTCGGAAAAGTTTTTAACGGGTTTTAAAATATTATGTTATGTTGGAAATTCAATCGTTCGTTATAACACACGATTCAAGTGATTAATTTCCAACATGAGATTAATAGAATCTTTCACCTCCTTGGGGTGAGATAGGAGAATCTCAACCCGAGGGGGAAGACTCTTAAGTTGCCAAACACGAGGCTTTGCCGAGTGTTTGGCAATTTAAGAATCTTTCCGCGAGGGTTGAGATTCCCCTATCTCACCCACAATGTGGTAAATGATTCTTTTTCTCTTACCCTGTTCTACCATTGTGTATCATATACACAATGTAATGATAACGTTACATGCTAAATGCAGGGTTGACGTGGCGTTGATGGATTGTTGACGTGATGTCATTGTAATGTTGAAGTGACGTCATGTCATTGTTATGAATAGGGGAATTCCCCCGTCTCAACCCTAGGGTGAGACAAAGAAATCTCACACCGGTAAAAGTGCGGATACACCTGTCCAGGGTAAGAGAAATATGTGTCTTACATCATTCACAACTTTATTATCAGGATTTTTATTTTGTGAAATGGAAATTTATCCGTCATGACAACGAATTCCTGGACTGGAAACAAACAACATATATATATATAAACTAACTAAAGCCATTTATAAAGATCAAACATTTACTCCCATTACCTCGATATTAGAGATGATGTGTACATCTGCTGGCGTTGTCTGACATTTCAGGGATGGCGGTAAGTCCACTTTTGGACATCCAGTAATTAAGTTTAAGAACGTCAAGTAAAATATAAACACGATAGCATTTCTGTTCTTGAGTTATGGTCGCAACAAAAAAATATGAAAATCTTCATCTTTAAAGAGACACCTCAAAGAGTGAGAAAGAATCGAAATTTTGACTTCAAGGTAACATGTCACAAATTTCATCAACCATAAAACAACAGTATTAACAAACACACTACTATGCATTAGTTAGAAAACGTGTTCAATTTATCTACTGTTTTTGCGAGAAATTTGAGTTGACAAGATAATTGATTATCAATCAGCCGTGAATTTTGAATGAAGCTTTCTCCTCAAAGCAGAAAGTGGACACATGAGATTCAGGTGAATATGTTCAATTATATCCCCTGAGGGACTGAAACTCATATCGCGCTCACACTTGGTCAATAGTTAGATACGTTAAACAATCAACAATTCTTGTACTTAAGATCTATACAACAAGGTGAAGATATGACTGCGGAGTAGTCTATAGTCAACGTTACCCATCTCTGTGAGAAACGTGTTGTTTAGCATTCAATGTGATACACTTATTTATGAATTATTGGCAAATCCATTTTGTTTCATTATTATTTTATAGAAATGCAGGTTTGTGCTGACTCTCGGTATATTTTAAATTTTATTATTATACTTTCTGTTTAAAGTTAATAAAAACGGACAACATACAAAGCATGTTACGAAAGGGCGCGTTTTCATTCAATCTCGATCCGGTGTACACTGAACCAGTGCAATGCTCTTCCTAAATGCGTAAATACAGGATGGATGATTTACCAAGGGCATAATAGTTTATGTTTAATTTTGACCCGAAAAATATATAAATACTTAAATGCTGCTCATTCATGGAATGGCCACCTAAAAAGCAAAAAAGACCCAAAAAAATGGTATTTTATAGGCCCTTGTTCATCTTCTAAAGGCTTCTTTGATACTGAAAATATAACTATAATAGTTTCAAATAGAAAAATATTGCCGAAAGTCAGCGGAAACCTATAGTTTTAATTTATTGAATAACTTATTTATTTATTGACTTTTATAAGAAAACAATTAAAGGGCCACATATGTAATTTTTTCAAATATGCTACTGGAAATACCGAGCCCCCCCCGGCGGACGTGAAGCAAACAGGGTGGGCACGTGCAAAAAGCAAGCTTCCCATCCGTCGGGGCAGCTTGTAGTGATGAAAAAGGTGGTAACTGTGCGGGTATCAGAGGCATTTATACGCATGACCCTTAACTATTTATAATCATGTGTGTAAACATGTTTGTGTGTGTGTGCGAGTGTGTGCATCATTGTTTGTCATATTGTGCTTTATGTTTTCGAAAGAGATATCCCTTTTGAATTATGAATAAAAGATTGAACAAATAAATCAAGACTTTCATGGTTTTTCCTGGTTTTAAGGACCGTTTTCATTTCTTTACATCTACCTTTATAAAGAGTGGTTTAAATATGTTGAGATATTGTTTTGCTAACTGAAAGCTGAATTTATCAAAATAATCTATCCTCAGAATATAATCTTTCCGATTAAATTACAGCATCTTGATGTCCAGAGAGAGAAAAAGTTCGTATCGCTCTATTGAAAGACACGTTACACGTGCCGTGATAAATCACAACGATAACATCACCTCCAAGGAGTGTATTCGTGAAAGTTACTATACAGCGAGACATATCCGCAAAATTCCAGTGTTTTGAACACTTGAAGTCATATTCGAGAACTGACTTATTTTTAAGGATAAAGACCAACTAAGGCTGGCATATACTAATCTTTTTTCAAAAGAGTTCGAGGACAACATTATTTATATTTCGAACAATAATCTAGACCTGGCTAGTTAGTCGGATGATTTTTAACGGTGTTCCGGAATTCTTGCAAGGAAAAGAAATAATTACAATTCAAATACCGAGTAAAATGCAAAGTAATTAACATTCAGCCATATGCTACATAATTCCTATTTTATGGAGGTGATTCCTACTTTAATTAATTCAGAAAAGAAATCATTATCTAGGACGTTTTTCTCAAGAAACCTTTTTTTAATCAACGAGATAATGCTGTTCAATGTGTAATATCAGTCATACTTATGCATGCTTTACAAGCTACATTAACATTTTATATCTAATTAACGATATCGAAAATCACAAGCTTCTGCAACTGTGTAGATTGCTTTTTCGATATATGCTTAACTCAAATTACAAAATTGATAACTGATCTTTGTATACGCTTGCATGAATAACTCTGAGCTCTGAATAGTAGGCTAATATAATTCATATTTTATTTTTCTGTAAATAAATTCAGCAGTTATTGCCATTACTGTCATGATTGGTATTTTTATCCCTTTATCTTTGCAAAAAAAAAAAAAGAGAAAGAAATAGGAGTATTGTTGAGGATTATCATACACCTGATAGATACATCTCTAGGCGTGATACCCTGGAGCATGTTGTACCGACTCCGAGAGTTGATGACAGGTATAGCAGGAAGTGAAGCAACAGACCTGTCCAATCAACAGGGTTGTTTCATGGTGACTCGGCCAATGACATTCACTGTTACAACATAATCAGGGTGTGTAACCGTGGCTTACGTACGTACCATGAATGTAAATGCTTTCGACACGGAAATGACTTGAATATCATACACCGGATGTACTCAGTAACGGGTAGCCATCCATCAAAATCATACCTTTCGTTCACACGGAGACCAACACTTACTAGCTCCAGGCGCGGAATCATGCGTTTCAGGGTGATGTTGGTGAAAATACATGGTCATGTGGACATCGGGGTAATTTAGAGACATTCCCAAAAAGATGAACTAAATTCGTTTTGCCTATGAAAAGAAAAACCGACACTAAACACCTAAGTTATTGTGTATATTAGACTTGACAGATGTAAAATTCTTCCATTTTGTTCCGAAAACATGACCCAATAAAACCGATTATCCTGTTTTATTTGTCATATAAATTTATACTATAGCTGATAAGCTCTTCGCTCGTCTATTTGCAAACACAATTCTAGGAGGTATCAGCTTTGTCGTGTGTTGTTATAAATCCCCAAACCATTAAATGACTTACTCCCTGAACAATAGAAAGGGAGCAAAATGTATATTAAATCTAAATTGAATTGATTTGCGATACCCTTTCATATTTAACGTAAGCAACTAACAGTATTTTCAACCAGATGGAATCTTCACGAGTTTTCGGGACCTAGACGCGTTTGGAGGGACGGGATTAAATCCCACCTGTCTCAACTCATCCGCCCCACACTCTGCCTCTGTTCAATCTACTGCTAGAGGAAACGTTTGGATAAAACAAACATACTTTTTATGGCAAGCCACCCTAACATTTATTCAAGGAGCAATATCGATCCCGAATTTCATAAAAACTATACAAGATATCTTTAAAGTATATTGGATATCTTATATATTATATCAGATATCTCATATATTATATAAGATATATACTATTTAAGTTTTATCACATTCGGGACCGACATTGCTTCTTGAATAAATGTTAAGCTGGCTTGTCATGGTTATTTTTTGTTTTGTTCAACAAGTATTAATACACAATATACAAGATATCTTAAAAGTAAATTAGATATCTTATATAGTATAATAGATATTTCATTTAAGATATCTCATATATCATATACATGTAAGATCTCTCATATACTATATAGGTTTTATGAAATTCGGGAATGATATTACTTCTTGAATAAATGTTAAGTTGGCTTGTCATGTTTTTTTTGTTCAACAGGTATTAATACACAAAATATATGTACAGGCGCGCAGTTGTATGTTGATGTTTGTATTAACTCACTGTCCATTAACATAAATAATCATAACATATATCTGAGGGGCTGGATCTTATGAGAGAAAAAAAAATAATAAGAATGATCTCTTCCATTGAAATTCATATTTCATTTCATCTTTGCGAAATCTACAAATTATACAATGACCTAATAAATTATACATTTGTTTAGACAATAATATTTCTTATGTCTCAACAAAATAACTGACATAGTAAACGTTTAATCGAAAGAGTCTTGTGTCAACTCACATTTAAATATGGCAGGTTCTGAATTAGTTTGTTTTCCTTTTCAGGAGATACCCTAATTCTCCCAAAGATGTCCTTATACACCAGATCTGGTTATTTCAGGTGGCATAGTATAGAAGATACACCCCGGATAAACATTTTCAAAAGTGAGGGTCATTTTGTTTTTCCCTTACGTAGAGACTGGCATGACATTTCATTGGAACAGCTATAATTACTGTGAAGTATACATGCATCTGTGTACAGGTAACAGTCTAAAACGTTTCAATTCAACTAAACGTAGTTTAATACAGGTTTACAATAATAAACACTAACATTACCATAACGACACTATACGTTGTAGTCAGAGTACCACAACCGGCGTCCACGTGATTTAT